AATTCCAAGGCTCTGGTGAACTTTTATAGTTGGCAATTCCAATGTGTATTGTCACATGCTGACGCCGGGAGAGTGGCACTGTTCTAACTCCATGTGAATTGATGTGCTGAGTACTTCTCTGGACTCCTATGCCCTCTTCCTTAGGCTAATTTTTAATCTGTATATTTCCCCTGTAATAAACCACAACCATGAATATAACAGCTTAGAATGTGTTCTGTGAGTCCTTCTAGCAAATGGTGGAAACGGGATGGTTTGCAGTTGGTGTCAGGAGCGGGGCCATTTTCTCTAATTGTACATTTGCCTAGACTCTCCCATGTGTCCTACAAATTGTAATACAATGCAGCAAGATAAAATGCCAATCAGCTAGGAAAAGGAGGTTTGAAGAAAGTAGAGTAGGAAAATAAGTTGCAGCAAGGAACAAGGTCAATATCTAAAATGTATTCCTTAGTGTTCTATACCTGGTCACGGGAATGCTACAAATGTGACTGTGCTTTCTAGCAGCAACTGCTAAGGGGTCATGAAGTCTTCTACAAAGATCACAGGGAAGCAGGGCATAGTGATGCACAACTGTAATTCCAGCAACACTGGAGGCTGAGGCAAGAGGATCGCAAGTTTAATGCCAGCCTCAGCAACTTAGCCAGATCCTGTACCAAAATAAAAATTAAAAACAGTAGTAGAGCGCCTCTGAGTTTGATCTCTGATGATTTGGGCAGGGATAGGGGTAGGGGTAGGGAAAATCAAAGGACTGCTCAAGGAAATGCTATTCCTGCCACTGGGAGGCATTTTTCTTAAGAGGACACTGTGTGATGATAATGAATAGCATTTTTAGTCACATCTTTTCCATAGCATCCTTAAGCTTTTCTAACACCCTGTATACAAGCTCTGGGTAGTGCAATAAAGCATTTCAGTAGGACAAGTCTGTATGTTCCCCCACTTGATGTGGCTTGGGTTTAATATTTCTTATAACTTAGTTTATCCCAGATGAATGGTTTACAGTAGGGGCATCCTTGCAACTTTGAAGGGTCTTGGCCAGAGCAAGCCATGACCATATATAGGAATATATGGCCTTCTTCTCTGGTTTTAAGGCCATAAAAACGGTGCTAAACACAATTAGATTTTGAGTGTAGTGGGGGGAGTGTTTTTAAGGGAAGTTCCTTCCAACACACAGGAAATATTTTTCAAAAGCCCAATATGTAAATAGGTAAGGTTTCAGGTTTTTTGGTTGAAATGGAGGTGGAAATTCTGGGATTCTAAGTGCTAATGCTGCCCATCTGCAACCCCCTGAGCAGAGGGGCTCTGTAGGATCCTTTGGGCTCCAAAGAGTTACCCTTGGATTTCACAGAAGTGCTGAGAAGAGTTATACCCTTCAGCTTCCACTGGAATAGTTCAATTTGTGTTTTTTGTAATATTTCCATTGAAGAAAAATTGCACGGACAATTTTTTGTTGTTGTTGTTTACCAGGGATTGAACTCAGGGGCACCCAACCATGAGCCACAACCCCAGCCCTATTTTGTGTTTTATTTAGATACAAGGTCTCACTGAGTTGCTTAGGGCCTTGTTTTTTGCTGAGGCTGGCTTTGAACTCGCGATCCTCCTGCCTCAGTCCAGAGCCACTGGGATTATAGGCATGTGCTACTGTGCCGGGCTGCATGGATCACTTTTAAAGTTCAGCAACCAGTGTTGTAGAGGAAGGACTGGGCTGCATTGTCTTTAGATACCACTTCATCAGATAAGCTTTTGAAAAGTAGAGAGTTAGGGACTAGACCCTTCTCCCCTTCCTCCACTTCCCAATGCAATCATTGCAAGTTGGCTATCCCTAGTGCCAAGAAACGTCAATCCTAGAAAAATTCTACCCTCTACCTCCTCTCCATCCTGGTTGGAATTGCTGCCCCCTAAATCTTCCACTCCTCCTCTGTCCCTCTATTTCCTCTTCTAGTAGTTTGTTGGGGGAATCCCCAAGGCCTTCTCTACTTCTTAACTATTTCTGCAGATTTGGAGAAAAAGTCTCCATTGTTGGTGTACCATTAGCTAGTTAGCTCTCCCCTTGGAGAAAGGGAACCCCTCAGATCCAGAAAAATCTTGTCTTACAATGTTCTGTCCTAAACTCCAACCCACCTTCATTGGTCCAAAGTCAGGCTCCCAGACAGCCCTTGTCACCGCTGAAAGAAGGATTTGATCCAGAGGGTAGAGGGCCATGGTATATCAGGAAGCTATTGAGTGTGATAAGTTCTTTGGAGAACTTGATAGGGAAGACAAGCCATTTTGTACATATTAATGGAGGAGCAGCAGCCTTTATCAAGAAAGCATTAATGGAGTTAGGGGGAAAGAGAAGGAAAACCTTGGAAAAGGAGACAATAAAATTGCCTTCTGAACCCGGAAGCATAGAATCCATACTCAGTGGATCAGAGATGAGACATGCAAATTGACCCTCAAGAAACAAAAGACCAAATGAAGGCACATTATTAGAAAAACGAGATGGGAAGATGTGAACAAATTGCCAAAGGAGAGTCACAGAAGTGGATACTCTAATTGTGCCCATCCAAGTTCTGTCTGGGGCCAGACCACAGTATGTGGGAACTTGACAGGAGAAACCACACGATAGAAATGAACATGATAGATTGTCATTGAATTGTTGAATCTTAGATCATCTCCTTCCCTCTAGCTAGCACCATGCTCCCTTCTGATGGTAACTCCTTGTGTTAACTGTAGAAATGTCGGGGCAATGGAGCACAGACAAAGTTGTGACTTGAACACTCAACCAAAGGCTATTTCTTGCCCCCATTCCTGTTTATTCCTTTATTCTGTTTGTTTTTGTCCTCATAGGACTTTATCACTCCATGTTTTACATTTGTTGCTTATGGCTTACCTCCCCCCAGCCTGGTCCTCAGTGATAACATAAGATCCATCTTTTCCCTTCACATCTGTATTTTCCATTAGGACAGTACCTTGCATTTGATTGAAGCTTAATAAATATTTGTGAGAGATATAGCTAATTGTACGTCTGTTAATGACAGCTCTGATAAAATGAGACAGCATCCCAGATTCGGATCAACTCCGGGACATTCATGAGTTAGCTTACTGTGGACACTTGAACTGTGCTGAATTAACTAAAGTTGAAAACTACTGTCACATGCAGACCTGTCTGGGTGGCCAGCGGGCTTTCCCCCAGCCACTTGCCTGTGCTTCTCTCCTGCTTGCTTTGCCAGCTCCCAGTCTCAAACACAAGTCAATGACAAATGACACTAACAATGACATTTACTAAGGGCTTTCCATGTGCCAGAACATCACCAGATTGTAGTTGTGTTAAATCTCAAGTTCATCAAGTAAAATCCCACCAACAAGACACCGGAAGACCAGAGTTTTGGTCCCAGCTTTGACATTAACTTTGACACAGAACTTTAAGAAATTCTTCCACTTTCTGCGACTCTGGGGGTTTTATTTTACTTTTACGTTTGTTTTTAATTTATAAAATAAGGGGTTGGGGAAGCTCGGTAGATTCTAATTTTTTTTTTCTTTTAGCAACAGCACCTTATTTTCAAACAAATCCTGCTTCAGGGGTCACATACGTAAGAAGGTAAAAGCTGTGTCAGGGTGACACCTGTGGCTTTGCACCTGTCTCTCCCCAGCAGTCTAGGAGACAGCTCTTCAGAGAGCTCAGGAAAACCGATTAAAAGCCTGTGGAGTCCCTCTCCTGTTCTCCAAAGCCTGGTCTAAGAAGAAAACATCACTTCATGGCTTTGCTCAGGGGGAAAAAAACCCAAAAAACTACCTTTTGTAACTGGAGACAAAAGACATCACTGGCTGGGGAACTTCCTCCCTGCTCCAACAGAACAGAAGAGCAGGCAAAGTGTGCAACTCCTCAACTCAGCTTACAGTGGAATCATCTGGGACTTTGCTTGATGAGCAGAGGGGTTCCTAAACCCCATCCTCCACTCCTCTTCCCATTCTGACTCAGTGGGTTCAGAACCAAAGGCATCAACATTTTAACTGTCCCTCCTCAGGGTCCTAACGCAGGTGTACACATCCTGTCTTGACAGCAATCATAAGGGAATCAAAGGATACATAACCCGAGGAACATACCAGTTCATTTTGGAAAGAAAGACAGACAAATTAAAATATGGACAGGTGGTACCTGGGAGGCAAGCAATGAATTGTTGAGGAGTTTGGTTGAAGGGGATCAGCCTAGTATGTCACCCCTCTGCATACCTAAGAGCTGGTCTAGTGAACAGGCAGCTGACATGAAAAACACTGAGCTGGGCTGTGCACCCTGGCATAAGTATCCTCTGTCTCCTCAAACCAGGCTGATTAGCGCTGCTGGCTGAGGTTCTCAAATAAACCCATTCCCATGTTAGAGACTTTCTGCATATTCTCTTCAATAACCACAGACCCTGGCCTTTTACCATGGGGCTCCAAGCTTTCATAATGCCAAAGCCCATGAACTTCAAACTCAACTAACTTGCAGTAATTAATAACCCCAACTCATATTCATTAGGTTCCACAATGTGCCAAGCTCTGCATTAAGTGCTTTATAGGAGTTAGCTCATTTGATTTTCCCAGTTATCTTATAAAGTAGGTCTTGAGACTCCATTATGCAAATAATGGAAGCAAAGCAGTTTGCTTTCAAATACTTTCTATTATCTACTGTTTCCCTCCACATCTTCAGGGCATTGATTGCCCAAGTTAGGGGTGGCTTTTTACTCTTACAAGTTCAGCCACCTGTGTTAGTCAGTTTTTTTTTTAATTGCTGTGCAAAATATCTGCTAGGAACAAATTAGAGGAGGAAGAGTTTATGTGAAGTTCACAGTTTGAGAGGTTCCGTCCATGGTCAGCTGTCTCCATTGCTCTGGGTTTGAGGTAAGCCATGGGACAGAGAGGGTGTTGTCCCCACTGTCCTACTTCCTCAAGCCACACACTTGCTTATAATTACTACCCAGTAATACATTCAAATTATTTACTGATGAAGTTATGGCTCTCACCATTATCTTTTTTTTTTTTTTTTTTTTTTGTGCTGGGGATTGAACCCAGGGCCTTGTGCTTGCAAGACAAACACTCTGCCAACTGAGCTACACCCTAGCCCTGCTCTTGCCATTATCTAAAAGGTCCACTTCTGAACATTTCTGCATTGGGGATCATGCTTTCAAAAAATGAACATGGGGGGGTGCATTTCTAAATCCAAACCATAATACTACCTTACTATGATTCCTTTAATAAAATTTTGCACTTGTTCTAGGATAACCAAATAATTCATCCTCCAAATCAGGACACTTTCTGTGAGTAAAAGAAGGTAGTATTAACTATTAGGCAAGAACATCATGCCTAAACTGGGACTATCCCAAGAAACCTCAAAATACAATTTTCTGATCTGTTACAAACTGTTTCTGCTCTCTGGAAATACCTGCATTTCATTTAAACCTTTGGTTTCAGCAGACAATTTTGTCTGCTATGCAGGGAAAAGCAGGGAAAATTGAAATCACCAGACAGCATTCTCCAGAACTTTTTTTTTTTTTGGTACTGAAGATTTAACCCAAGTGTACTTTACCACTGAGCCATATCCCCAGACCCTTTTATTTTTTAATTTTGAAACAGGATCTCACTAAGTTGCTTAGGGCCTTGCTAAGTTGCTGTGGCTGGTGTTGAACTTGTGATCCTCCTATCTCAGCCTCCTGAGCGGCTGGGTTAACAGATGTGTGCCACAATGCCTGGCTTCTCTGAACAACTTCCTCTTCCTCCTCCTCTTCCTCCTTCTTCTTTCTCTTCTCCTTCTTCTTTCTCTTCTTCTTTTAAACATTTTTATTAGTTGTTGACGAACCTTTATTTTATTTATTTATATGTGGTGCTCAGAATTGAACCTAGTGCCTCACACGTGCCGGGCTGGTGCTCTACCACTGAGCCACAACTCCAGCCCCTCCCTTGAACTTCTTGACACATACAAATCTACCTGTACCTTTGCCCATATTTTCTGATTATAGTGGGAGACCATCTTGTAATCTAAAACTAGCTCCTCTTTCTGGACTCTGAATCCCAGCTCCCTCACACCTCCTGGGGGTGAGAGATGGGTGGAGGAGATGGCTTGTCTGCATCTTCAAACCTCTTCCCTACTGGCTCCTCTCTTCAGCATTTAAATACGTTCATATCTTTCCTATCTTAAGATCATCTGCGCTGGGCCTATGGCCCATGTCTGTAATCCTAGCGGATCGGGAGGCTGAGGCAGGAAGATTGCAAGTTTGAGACCCATCTCAGCAATATGGCAAGATCCTAAGGATTTAGCAAGGTCCTATCTCAAAACAAAACATAAAAGAAGGGCTGGGGATGTGGTTCAGGGGTTAAGTGATCCTGGGTTCAATCTCGGATACCAAAAAATCCTTTCCCTCTACCATATGTTTTCCTTTTTTTTTTTTTTGGCGCGGGTGGGGGGTACCAGGGATTGAACTCAGGGGCACTCAACTACTGAGCCACATCCCCAGCCCTATTTAGTATTTTATTTAGAGATGGGAGTCTCACTGAGTTGCTTAGTGCCTTGTTTTGCTGAGGCTGGCTTTGAACTCATGATCCTCCTGCCTCCGCCTCCCAAGTTACTGGGATTACAGGCGTGTGCCGCTGCACCTGGCCTATGTTTTCCCGTTTCTCTCTCATCGTGTATTTCCCCTCTCCTTCAAAAACAATTTTTTTTTGAGAGAATATGACTTATAAGCTCTTGAAGAGGTCTACAAGGCCTGGAAAGCTGTCTCCTGTCCATCTTTCTATCCTCATGTCAAGTCTTCTCCATTTCCCTCTCCAGGTTCCCTCTTGTTGGATGCCCTCTGTGCCTCAGCACACACCGCAAGGCTTTGCCCGAGCTGGCCCCACTGCGAAGAACAGTCTTTTCTCCTCCGTTTCATAAAGAGTCCTTTGGGTGCAGTTCAATAATTTGCAGACCATTTCATTTCTCTCCAGCCACCTTCATGGTTCAATTGAACAATTACCCTTTTAGCATGGAACCCTGGAAGAGGTAAAGGAAAAGGAAAAGCAGATATCAAGTGCACAGTCTTGCCCCAGGACAGAGTACGCACACAAAACCTCAACGTGCTTTGACTGGGGAGGGGCACGTCATGTAGTTGGCACTCACTTACTGGCTCCTCCAGAACTGTGGGTCTGCCCTATGGGTCCCCATCTTTCCAGATCCAAAGAGAACCTGAAAAAATTTTTTTTTGAGCAAAGGCTTGGACCTTTATTATCTTCCTTCATCCTCTCCATCAGAGCAGAATCAAATTTTCACCTCTCCCTCTTTTTCAAAGTTTTATATCAGAATTGGGGCAGGGAATTTTTTTTTTTTTTTTTTTACTTTTAAAGATCCGGGCAGAAGAGAAGGAGGTCTACATTTTGCTGATGCAACCACTTTGTCGTCTATAATGTTTTACTGTGCCCCACCCCAACACACCCTTAGAAAAGGGTTGAGGAAATCTCTCTGGGAGATGATCCAAGAAGGAGGAATGAGGAAAATGGATGGAGAAGGGAGAAAAGTTAATAAAAGATGTGCCAGCTGATTACTGCTGTGGACAGCAGGGGCTCAGACCTTCTGAAGAACCATGAAGAACAGGCATCAGAATAGTCCAGAGAACATTGATCCACTAACTGGTCCCTTCATTGGCTGGTGCACAAAGCTCCAGTTGCACCTGTGCTTAGGCTGGGTGGCCTCCTATGTTTGCAGAAAAAGCCAAGAAGCGGAAAAACAGAATCTGTCCAGAGTATAAACTTCAGGTAGGACTCAGTCATAAAACTGCCCATCACAGAGGTGAATGGGCTGTGCCATGGAGAAATTTAAGTATGTGCTATAAGCAAGATGTTAGAATGGATGTCTTCTTGCTTGATTATTTGGAGCTGACAGTGTGACAGGTGTCAGGAGATTAAAGGAAGTGTCAAGGATAGCTCCCCTTGCAGAATTTACGGGGGGGGGGGATTAAGGTGAAATGGTGTTGTTGTTCTTGGAGGCCCCTCACCCGTGGCTGGAAAATTGAAAAAGGATGACTGGGAAAGAGACTTCTTTGCAAATAGTTGTTACCTCTGGCCATAAGCCAGGTGAGGGGGACTTCAAGAAGAAGAGAGAACTATGAGAAGTACGTCCTACCAGTGAGAGTCCTAGGGGACAACAGCCCAGGAGATAAGCCCAGGAGAGTAAAAACTGTGAATTAAGATCTGACTCCCAAGAAGGAGCCAGGATTGTGGAGCCATGTCCTAGATCCTGGAGGGAATCTGTCATGGCAGGAATGTTTATGATGGATAACCGAGGGCACCCTTAACAGACAGTCTGCTTGGTTGGCCTGGGTGCTGCACAACAGGGGCATTTGGTGGGGTAAGAGAGGAGAATGGAGGTGTGTGGCCAGACGTCCAGGGACTGAGGAAGGAAGTTGCAAGTGATCACCCAGAATAGAGGTGCCTCCACTCCTGACCAAGGGTGGAAGAAAGGGAGCCATAATTGTCTCCCAAGAGAAAACAGTTCCTCTTCATCATTTGCTAGACATGCAAAGCCACTCAGCCAGGTAAGAACTCCCAACTCTTCCCCATCTTTCTGGAGAGGGAAACAGTTTGGGGGAGATGGTTGAGAGAGTATATCAGTCAGGAGTGCAGCAGGGGGAGGTAAGCTGAGAGTGAGAAGAGAGCTTTTTTCTGCCCTTTCCCATCTCAGGCTCCTAGCCCAAACAAATCCAAGCCAGGAAAAGCAGGGATTATTTGATTATAATTTAGGTTTGGAGTTTTCTATATGACATGGGACAGGAAGTTTTCCTCTCTTTCGATTTCTCTCTCTGTCCTGTACTGGGGATGCTCTACCACTGAACTACATCCTCAGTTTTTAAATTTTGAGACAGAATATTGTTGAGTTGCCAGTGCTGCCCTGGAACTGTGGTTCCCCCACCTTGGACTTCCTAGTAGCTGAGATGACAGGTGTGTGCCATCGCACCCAGCTGGAAACTCTCATTCTGAACTGAAACCAGAAACCAAGCCCACATTCTCAGGGCAGGGGAACACTACCCCAGTGAGTAAGAGTGAAGAAACCGTGGGAGACAGAAATGAAGTTGCATGTGGATCACAATCCCTGAGCTAGAACGGGAATCGGACTGGAGAATCCACTCTGAGAAGCCACTTTCTCTACATTCAACTGGGAGAGCTAAGTGAAGACTGGAGGTAGATAGGCTTAATGGACTGTTTATGATTATTTAGGGAGACAGGTTTAATAAACCTGAATACAGTTACCTTCTGGCTATCAGCATACTCACTGTAGCAGCCAGGAAGGTGCCCCTCACTCTCCCTTCAAGAGAAAACTTATCTTCAGCTGCAAGGAGTACCATGAACTGATAGCCTCTGGCTGTAGCACTGTCAGGATCCTGGGCAGCCCGGCCAATAGCTACACACCGTTTTGGCACTTGGACATTCTTGCACGGTGAGTGTACCTGGACACTCCTGCCCAACACAGGTTCCCTTTACTGTGCAACCTTTGATCCAGACCTCACTGTTGAGCTAGCAGAGAGTGTGAGAACTGCTTCATGGACTGAAGATCTCCCTACTCCATCTGCTCCTTCCCCCTTTGATCTTTTCCAGGCAGTAACCCCCACTAAGCCTCTTTTACTCCTAATTCCAGCATCTGCTTCTCAAAGAACCTAACAGATATACTCACTGAACTTTAAACTCTGAACATTATGCACCATGACCTGTTTTTTTTTTTGCTTCTTGCTTTAATCTTATTTGAAAGATTTTTCATTTTGTGTTTTTAGTTGACAAAAATTTGTGTCTAGACTTGTCACGTACACCACGCTGTCACGTGACATTGTAAAATGGCTAGATCTAGCTACAATACATGGATTACTTCACATACTTTTTTTTTGTGATGTGTACATTTAAAATCTGCTCTCTTATCAACTTCCAAGAATACTATGATTGTTATAAATCTTAGTAACCATTTTGTGCAATAGATCTCTTGAACTTGTATTTCCTGACCAACTGAAATTATGTATCCTATGACCAACATCTCTCTACCTACCCACCCACCCCTAACCCCTGGAAACTACCATTCTACTCTTTATTTATGTGAGTTTAGCTTT